ATTACTGAACTCGAAGATGAGAGGCAGGATATCGTGAAAGAGTTCGAAACAACCACTTACAAACTCTCAAACAGTCAGAGAAAAATGAGGGCGGTGGCTGATGAGCTCCATGTACAACTTGCTGTAGCCAATTCGGTGAACAAAACCTTGAACGAAAGATTGAACAAGCTCGAAGCAGAGTATACCAGCGAAAAGAACAAGCGAGAAAAGATCGAGAATGAAGTCTTCGGCCAAGTTCAAAGCCTGCAAAGCCAGTTCAACGACGGCTCGAATCTCGTAGCGAAGAAACTAGAGCTGTTCCAAACTTTGATCGAGAAGGCTGCCACGCACAACCCCCAAAATATCAAAATCGAAGAATGTCTCAAGATATTAAACGACTTACAAAGGAAGTCCCTCTTGACATTGGAAGATGTTCATAAAGCAGAAGGAGTATTGCGCTTCGTCCAAGACCGGTAAGGTGGCACCCTGACTTAATGGAAAGCGTTGTTCTGACACGTGAAATAGCATCGAGTCTCGTCTCGAAGACTTCTCCCAGGCGCTTGTTCGCAGTGCTCCATCCGATACAGATTTTCACGTGTCGATAAAAGAACAGATAGATGATTTGCGAACAAACATGATGAAATATGAAGAGATCGCTGCCGAGAATCGTAAGATCAACGACTCAAATACCGCACTCACGAAGCAGTTGATTGCCCAGCAGCATGAATCCTCTCGCCTTAGCGAACGAGTTGAACATCTGCAGCAGGTTGAGATAGATCTGAAGGAACGTTCACGCGAACTGGAGCGCGACCTGAATGATTTGAGGATAGCAACTGACTCATCTCTTTCAGAGATGTCAGCATCTGAAAAGCTCAACCATGACCTTCGCAAACGGCTCAAAGAAGTTGAAAGTGAACTGAGATCAGCCAGCGAAAATATTCATAACGGAGAACAATTGCGACATGATCTCCAGAAGGAAGCAATTGAGTTCAAGGTAACACCTATGGTTCTAAAATGGAGCATGACCTTGACATATCACAGAAACGTCTCGAGGCTGCGCAAAAAGAGAGAGAAAAAGCGGTCCAGGAGCAAATTGATGAGGTAAGTAAAGCAAACTCATAAGAGCCTTGTCATTAATCTGCTTTGCAGAAGCAGAATGTTGCGACAATCCGTGACTCAATCTTGAAGGAATATGAACTCAAGCTAGTTGAAAAAGAACGCGAATATGTATGTGAAATCAACCGACTCCAGCTCAATCTTGGCGAGAAAGAGATGCTTCACCGCAACGTGAATGAAAGGCTCAGCACTGCAAACGAACAGGTCGTGAAGCTTAAGAAGGAACTTAAGGATCAGCATCGTGAAAAGACTGAGTTGCAATCTCAAATATCGCAACAACAATCTGATATAAAGGTTTTGCGTCAAGAGACAGATGACCGAATATCTCAAATTGAACGAGACGCTCAGATCGAACTGCAATCGAGCCAGGAGAGGATCAAAGCACTAAACCGCGAAAACCAAGCCCTCATTTCCAAGCTAGAGAAAGGTCGCGTAGATGAGCAGAGAGCGGAGGAAGTCGAAACGTCTTTGCAAGCTGAGAAGAATCGTCTACAAGAGGAATTGCGCAAACTATGTTCTGTGCTCGACGACAAGAACAAGGAGATGACACAGATACGCAACGAAGCTGCCGATGAAAACCGAAAGCTCATTGAAGCACACAGCAACGATGTTCAAGATTACAGGCGCCGCTTGGCTGAAACAAAAGCCATGTTGGAAGAAGTTGAGGCGAAGGGTACGTTGTTGGAAGACGAGTATCAAGCCCGGATTGAGGCGGACCGAAAGGCGGCTGAGTTCAAGTTACTCGCACTAGAAAAGGAATTTGGCAATGCTCTCCAAGAAGCCAAAGATCAGAGTGCGCCGAGCCAATGGCATAGCACTCGAGATACGACCCCAAGCTTGTCCAAATCCCAATCTGATCAGAATATAACTCTTAAAAAGCCTCGAAGGAAGGTGAATCGGGACAACCGATCAGTGATAGAGGCTACCCAGGAGCAGACCGGTGGCATCCAGTTTCCGCCACCTGTCCGTGCCGAGATTTCACAAGCGCAATCCATTGACCCAGATCTATTTTCGGTTCTGTTTGATGACAGAAACAGCGCCCAGATTGATGGAATCGACAGCATCTCGACATTTGATCATGGCCTCAATACGGTTCCAGAAACCCAGGATCTAGGGGATTTGACACTTCCGCAAATATTTTTCCCAGAGAGAACCGACCAAGCTGCACAAGAAGATATCTCGCATCGGGCATTGAGCTCAACCGAGCTCACCAGCATAGGATCAGAAGAGCTGACACAAATGGAGAAAGAAGTGGAGTTTGTCTCAAGACCCAAATTCCACGAGCAGGGTTTCAACTCAAACAAGCCTGGGAAGCGTCTGGACACTGGAAAAGTGAGTCCAACCCATATGGAAAGAACCCCCATGGAGAGCTCTCATTCAACCTCATCGCAAGAAAGACCCAGGTCGCAGGCCAATACATCATCCCGGATGATGCCTCGAGGCTGTTCCTCTCAACAAATCCAAACCCCAAATAAGTCTCGAGTAACTCGGATCAAGCTACCTAGTCACCGTGAGAGATTTGATGATATCCTTAAGAATCTCAGCGACAGCGATCCTCCATATACGCGCAAGCGTGACAGAAGCCAGACTGAAAGAGATTCGACCTCAAAGAGGCAACGTGTGTTACCCGCAGCTAGATCCGGAGCCTCCTCTCCTGGCTCCCAGAAATCGTCCTGTCCAAGGTCTCGGGACCATTCTTTTGAGACTCAAAGTCGTACTCGCACCCAAGTTTCTCCTGACAAGACCTATAAATCCCATGGAAAAGCGTCTTTACAGCCATATACTGCTCTACCCACGCGTCGCTCTGGTCGAGTCACACGTAGTAAGAGTGAGTATAGCGTATCCTCAGACCTTTAGTATGTGATCGATACTAACTTGAAGGTGTAGGCAGAAACGGTACCGCATTTGGAGATGATTTCAGTGACAGATTCAACGAGGAACTACAAGGATGGCATTGATCGTTCGACACGTCTTCCTTGGCGCTCGGATGTGACGTGCGGATTGTTGCGCTTTTCGCTCAGCCACCAGAGTAACCCAACAGACATGTTAAGCCGATGCATAAGCCGCTTAAGTGAAAAGAAAACAAAGGAATCAAATCAAGCAGCTGGGAATATTGGGCTCCAATATTAGCAATCCTTTGTGACACCAATAGGAGGCAAATGATTCATCTACTACCGCATGTCTCCCTAGCTCGGGTTCCGCCGCAGGGTTGTGGATGTTATTGAGCTTTGTACAGAGAATCACAATATGAGGTATGGATGTAGGGAATTAGGAGAGAAAAGAGAAGTCCGTAGGAAGAAATAATAGTTAGCAGAGATACGGGGAGATATACATCAACTCACATGGCTAGCAAACGCAGAAGACATAGATATCAGATAGCAAAAATTGTGAAAAAAAACGGTTGTCCTGTGTATATTTAGTTTGGAGGGTTCACCAAAGAGTCCTGGATCCTATTCAAAAATGGAATGGTCTTACAACCCGATTGCATATTAAAACTGGTTCCTGAGTGCGGAGCAAGGCGGAGGCGAATGGCGGCAATGGAGACCTCAATCAACGCTCATTGGCCGACGAGGGCAACGCCGCAGAACTTCGGCTTCACAACATCAAACTATCCACCTTGGACACAACCACCATTGACGCCGACACGATATATATTCGCGCGTCGACATGGCGAAGAAAGGTATGCAAAATTTCTGAAACTTCAGGACATGCTCATTGTCGCTGTCCCACGCCCTCGATAGCTGGCCAACGTTCCCCCGCGACTGCCGCAAGTTTGCACCGTATATGCGCTGACGACAGCGCTCTGCAGCAAAGTCCCGTACCATCATGGTGCGCCTCATATCAATGGCAATGACGGGATACTACCGAACCATGCAAAGACCGCGCGCCCACCAGCCACTGAGCATGCTTAAATACGATCCCATTGGTATGAGACCCTTTCTACTCTCTATCCTGACGACAGGATTGAAGCCACGCTCTTTGCAAGATGCTCCCTCTATAATATCCGGCATGTACGACAGGAAGGAAGCGTGGAGGCTACTTTGAGGGCAATGCGATGGTCGGACGATGGCTGATAAACTGGCAGTTCGGAAACAAGTCCTTTTCCTCGAAGCCAAACGCGGCAAAAAATAATACCACACACCATAGAAGATACCACCGCATGCGATAAGACTACGAACAATTTGGGGGCAAAAATATCGACTGGATTCCTGCATAGAGTTGCGGGGGGCGGACGCCGTGGATTACCGCCTGCACAAGACACAGAACCCGGCAACCGTGATACTCATCAGGCTGCCCAAAGCCTCATACGAGGCGGGACAAAGCCTTGTACATCCATGTACCAAATATTCGCATGGGCTGGCGTTTTACGCAGTACATGCATACATCAGAACAACATATCTGAAATAAGACGTACCTCGTTTCCCGTTTACATCTATGCCTTCACCTGTTCATCGGCCCCCACGTGCTCAAATCCGCGTCCCACAAATATCTCTATGCTATTCCGAGCCTCTGAACCGACTTTCTTTCGTGATACATTGAGACGAGGCTATCTGCCAAGATCAGAGCTTCGCCCTGCGGCTTTCATCGTCTCTTGGCTGGAGCTAATCTGGTTGACAAGTCCCCATCGTGATGCCGGCTTACCCGACTAGGCCGTGCCGCCTTCCTGAAGACTTGGACTACGTAAGTCGAAGTCTTTTTCTATACGCAAATTCCCCATCTATGTGGGAGCCAAGGCTGGGGTTGAAGGTGCCGGGGAAAGGCGGAGCATGTTCAGTCTTGGCTTTGTCGTGCATTTGGGAAAAGTGTTGAACTAGCAGAGGCACATCGTCGTATAAAATGACAAGCACTAGCCCTTTTCTCATTCCTCATCCGATTGTGTTTTGCTCGCCTTCCAATTTTTCAAGATGGATCCCGAAAAGTCGGCCGAGAAGCGTTCCGAGCACTCTCCTGATAGCCACATCGATGATATAGACTATCACCAGTCCCAAACCCTACCCCAACGTTTCATCGAGCAACAAGAAGCATCGAAGAAGCCAGACTCAGCTTCAGGTTTGTTCTCCAAACTCGGTAACTTACCAGAATGGAATGTCCCTGGACACGGCCGCCTTCAAGGCAAGGCACTCAACAACGCTATCGCTTGGTGCTCGTGTCTCGCCTTCCTCATGTTCGGATATGACCAAGGTTTTTTATCTGGTGTCTTAACTCTCGATGACTTCCAACGCCACTTCCCTCTCATGACATCTCGTGAGCGCCAGAACAACTTGTGCTGGCTTGATGCACCAACCAACACCATACCCAACCCGGATATGTGTACGGGAAGCCCGAGCATCCTGTCAGCCGCCGTCGCTGTGTACCAAATTGGGTGCTTTCTAGGCGCAGTTCTCATCCTGTTTTACGGCGAGGTCTGGGGCAGGAAGAGTAGTAGCTTTTGGGGAAGTCTTATCATGATCATCGGAACTATACTCCAAGTTGCGCCTGGAGGAGCCAAAGGTGGAAATTCTGGAGCATATGCTTTACTATGCATTGGACGTGTTGTAGGAGGGATTGGAAATGGCATGGTCACGGCGAGTAAGTGTCGATGTTGTAATATGTCATTGTATGAAACTGACATTCATAAAGCAATACCCACCTGGCAATCCGAGTGCGCGAAACCCGAAAAACGAGGACGCTTGATTATCACATCTGGGGCGGTCATTGTAGCTGGTGTCATGATCTCATACTGGGTCACCTATGGATTCTACTTTGTTCCATCAGGTGAGAGCTACAGCTCTGTCCGCTGGAGATTTCCAATCATGTTCCAATCGTTCTTCACCATTCTTGTCATGTATGTCTATCTTCCAGCATCAAGTTAACCAACGCTAATTTTATACTAGGATCGCTCTTCTCTACTTGCCGGATTCACCACGTTGGCTCGTCATGCGCGGCCGCTACACTGAAGCTCGCGAACTTCTTGCTCGACTTGCTGGTTCAACTGTCGATTCTGAAGAAGTAGAAACGGAGCTTACTAACATCATCGATGCACTTGAAGCACAAAGCAAGGGTGGCCCGTTCAAGATGAGGGAACTTTTACATAATGGTCCGAGTCAGAACCTGAGACGCACTACACTCGGTGTCGTGTCGCAATTCTTTCAACAAATCAGTGGTGTCAACCTCATTGTAAATGCTAATGTGACTTCCATTTCGACTCACAAACTGACCACAATTTTTAGACATACTATGCCACCTACGTCTTCGAAAACTCCCTGGGTTTCGGCCCAGACATGTCTCGCCTTCTCTCCGCCTGTAACGGGACCGAATACTTTCTCGCTGGTCTCATCACCATCCCCCTAATTGAACGCGTAGGCCGGCGCAAACTCATGCTCTTCGGTGCCCTCGGTCAAATGGCCAGCATGGCCATCATGAGCGGCATGACCTCGACCGCCACACCCGACGAATTTGGCGCCCCGATTTTGGAGCCGCGATACGGCATTACAGCCGTCATCTTCATGTTTGGCTTCAACACCTTCTTCGCCATCGGCTGGCTCGGCATGTCGTGGTTGTACCCAGCCGAAATCACCAATCTGCGCATTCGCATTCAAGCCAATGCGCTATCCACTTGCTCGAACTGGCTCTCTAACTTTCTCATTGTCATGATCACGCCCCCAGCTTTTGCTAACTTGTCATACAATACGTATACGATGTTTGCTGTATTCAATGCGGCGATCGTGCCGAGCGTTTACTTCTTTTTTCCTGAGCCAAAGGGACGCAGTTTGGAGGAGCTGGATGTCATTTTTGCGAGTGCGAATCAGATGGGGGTTAGTCCTGTGAAGAGAGCGAGGGAGATGGAGAAGCTGGTGGGGAGGGAGTTGGATGAGGAGATTGCGAGATTTTTTGGGGGTGATGTGGAGGAGGTTAGGCGGAGGAGCAGAGCTTGAGAGGTGGATTGGAATTTTCGATGTGTAGGCACGCGTGCAGGTTGATTGTCGTGATTTTGACGTGGCCTTGGGCGGTACTTTTTTTCATGCACTCTGCCGGTGTAGGTGGTGCCCGGCCATCTTGACACGAGTTTCCGGTCAACAGCAAGGTTGTACCGAGACGGCTTAAGTTGGGAACATCAAATCCATGCAGCACGAGTTGTACTGCAAATCCAATAACACCCTATCGCGATGATCGATAGATGGCGACCTGCCGACTGCAGCTAGCGTTACACACCGGCAATATCGATGTCGCGGGGGGCTGGGTGCCTCATTCTCCTCTTTTGCAACGGTCCAAAACGCCACAACGCTTTCAACTACGCCCCAACCTCCAGATTGGGGCTACAACTATGACGTTGATAAGCTTTCCTCGGCTCAACGAACGACTTGGCAAGAGGCCTTATTCCACCATTGCGCATAGCGAGCTTCTTGTTTGGGTAAGGTGTGTGATTTGATGTGCGTAGACTACTCGGACCTCATTGGAGAAAACACACACAAATCGTCACTCTCTTTCATCGATGGAAAAACACGCCTTAGACAGCAGTTTCGATGGCTGAAAAATTGCGGCATAGGTTGCATCTTTGACTCGATGCCTTTTGTCCTAAGCCATAATTAGTAACCGGTGATACAAAATCCAACCGCGGCAAACAAGTTGTACTTCTGAAAGCTCTTACTAGTATTGTCGCCTTAACGCGGAACTCGCAAGATCTTCATACTCGTGTTATCCGGCCAATTGCAATGACCAGTACTACTTTGCAGTTGCCTGATTCGGATTAAACTACTGCACGGCTACCCACAGATCGCATTTGGCTCACATGGAGCCAGCCCGCCATGCAGTGCTCAGCCATGGCAGGCGGAAAGAAATGTACATAGCCGCATCATTGCATGTTGTTAAACGGCTTAGCCTCGTACGCATTCAGTGTATTTAAGAAGGCCGAGAGAAGCGGCCTTCTCGGCAAGCCCGCTGCTTAAGCCTTGGTCATTCTTCTTCACGACAAGCTATTCACCATGGCGCGCTTCACCCAGATTGTTGCTGTCTTGGCAGCAGCGACGCTCAGTCATGCTCGCAAGCCATTCATCACTGAGCGTCAGGTCCCGGCTGACCCCACTGGCGTCACAACCATCAAGTCTGCTCAGGGTGCCGAGATTCGCTACAAGCAGCCTGGAAAGGCGGGAGTTTGCGAGACTACTGAAGGTGTTGACGATTATGCCGGTTACATCAGTCTCAATCCTACTACCAACATGTTCTTTTGGTTCTTCGAGGCGCGTGAAAACCCCTCCGAAAAGCCGTTGGCAAGTACAACCTATATTTCAGCTCAGAATTCGGTAGCAGATTCTAACTTTGTTTCCAGACACTTTGGTTGAATGGTGGACCAGGAAGTGACTCGCTCATCGGTCTCTTCCAAGAACACGGCCCATGTAATGTCACTGAGGATTTGAAGACACAATTGAATCCTTATTCATGGAACGAGCACAGCAACATGCTCTACCTCTCGCAGCCTGTTGGTGTAGGCTTCTCCTACGAGACCACAGAAACCGACGCGGACGGTCGATACTCGCTTGTTGATCCCGATACCACAAACACTACCGATGCTGCAGCCATCGGTGCGTGGCACATTCTCCAGGCTTTCTTGGACCTGAGCCCCCAGCTCGACCCGGATATCACTAACTTTACATTCAATCTTTGGACTGAGAGGTTAGTGATTCAGCAACAAGACTGAAAACGTATTGCTCACCAGTTTCTAGCTACGGAGGACATTACGGCCCCGGTTTCTACAACTACTTCTACCAACAAAATGAGAAGATCAAGAACGGCTCTTCCCCTGGTGTCGAGATTCGCATGGACACTCTCGGTATAATCAACGGAATTGTCGATGAGCAGATCCAGGCCCCTTACTACCCCGAGTTTGCTGTCAACAACACCTATGGCATCAAAGCAGTTAACGACACGGTTTACACTTTCATGAAGAACGCCTACTACATGCCAGAAGGCTGCCACGATCAAATCGAATACTGCAAGCAATCCGACCGCACCACCCAAGACGGCTATCTAACTTGTTCATCCGCAACCAACCTCTGCCGATCGCTCGTCGAAGAGCCATATTACGCATTTGGCGGGCGTGGCGTCTACGACATCCGCCATCCCTACGACGACCCTACGCCCCCCGACTATTTCGAGTCCTTCCTGAACCTGGCCTCAACCCAAGAAGCCATCGGCGTAAACATCAACTACACGAGCACCAACGCCCGCAACGTGTCCCTCGGCTTCAGTCGCACCGGCGACTTCGTCTTCCCCAACTTCCTCGAGGACCTCGAAGAAATCCTCGCCTACGGCGTCCGCGTCGCCCTCCTCTACGGCGACGCAGACTACATCTGCAACTGGTTCGGCGGCGAAGCCGTCTCTCTGGCCGTCAACTTCACGCACGCCGCCGACTTCCGCTCCGCGGGCTACACGCCCTTTCTCGTTGACGGCGTCGAGTACGGCGAGGTGCGCGAGTACGGCAATTTCTCCTTCACCCGCATCTACGAGGCCGGCCACGAGGTCCCGTATTACCAGCCTGAAGCTAGTCTGGAGCATTTTAGGCGCGTCCTGCATCATGTCGTTGTTGCGGATGGGAGCCAGGTGGTCACGAGTGATTACAAGACGAATGGCACCGCCAAGGCGACGCATACAGAGGAGTTTGTCCCGTTGCCGCCGACGAGTACGCCGAGTGCTGCTAGTAGGGTGAGGAGGGGATCGGTGTAGATTGGCCGTGGGGGCGGTGAGACGGGTGATGAAGTTTAGAGCCTTGTGTGAGGCATTGATGTATGACGTTAATGACTTGAAATGAAAGTAATTGAATCATGAGTTCAGAGGAAATACTGCTTGTCTACTGTTATAAGACGTCTGAAATGAGTAGGTTTGACCCTTTTACCATTTGCACAATCTTTTCTTTCGTGTGCACATTGCTTTTTGTAAACTTGTTTTGGCTTTCTTTTAAGAGTATCACGCCTTGTTGCCGACTGTACCGACGCGTTTACTTGGCAAATGAAAGTCGTTTCGAGGAAAGCTAGGTCCGATTGATTACTGTTTACTTCCCTTTCCGATCGTTCTGGATCCTGGCTGTTACAAGGCCTCTTCTTCCTTTGTCAAATCCTGTAGTTGATCAATACCATGTACTGTTCCACCTGTTTCTTTCGTGTTTTTTTGAGAGATGTTCAGATGTCCAAATCACTTCCATATTCATTGTTATTGCAGCCTTCGTGGATTTGTTTGTGGAGGATAGGTTACGAAAGATATGCTTGAGCAGCATTCAGCTTTGGTATGGCTGAAAGGTTTGAAGTAAGTTATTAATCGGTCGCCATATGGAGTAAAGGATTTATCACCTCCATTTTCACGTGCGCCCGAGCTATGTCAAGTAATAGTATTGTTGGTTTGAATGGTCTCTAGGTAGTAATACTGTTAATAATGGAGGATATACACGTAAATGCGTTAACGTGTTCCACGGGCGAGCGCCGCACACGGGCGAGCGCCGCACCCCACCAAACTCACACACCTCTCCCATC